AAAATAAAATAAAATAAAATAAAATAAAATAACTAACCACACCAAAACAAAAATAAAAAAATATATAACCAGCATGTATAATCATTTACTGTGTTAAGGCCCAGGTGCAGAAACCAGCATAATTCCTAACTACCTGGCACAGCTGAAAATGGCAGGTCAGATCTGTCTTCACTTTGAGAAATTTTAACTCAGAACTTAAACACTTAAGTTGCATTTTATAATGAGTAAATTGCAAAAAAATAAAGACGGGATTTTTTTTAATTTTGTTTTTAATGTTTATTTATTTTTGAGAGAGAGAGAGAGAAAGAGAGACAAAGCATGAACGGGGGAAGGGGAAAAAGAGAGAGGGAGACACAGAATCCGAAGCAGGCTCCAGGCTCTGAACTGTCAGCACAGAGCCCCACATGGGGCTTGAACCCATGAACCGTGAGATCATGACCTGAGCTGAAGTCCAATGCTCAACCGACTGAGCCACCCAGGCACCCCAAAACAAGATATTTTTAAAGTGGGATAGCCTTGCTTTTTATAATCTAATGGAATGTCTTTTTAAGTCTATCAATGGAGTAACTTTTGAATAAACAGAATTGTTGTGAATTCACCTTTTATAATTCTAAGACATATAAGAGTTGTTTTAACTTTGGTTTTTATATTATAGATCAAGATTATTTTCTACAATAAAGTGGGTTCTATCACTTTGCAAATGGCCTGATCATTCAGTGAGGCCAGATTTTCCAAATAGGTCTTAAAATGTACTGATTCCATCCCACAAAAAAAGGCAGAATGCTCAAAAGCAAGGAAGCTTAAAGTGGACATGTTTGTTTTTATTTATTTATTTTTTTTTAGTGTTCATTTAATTTTGAGACAGAGACAGACAGGATGTGAGCAGGAGAAACACCAACTAACACTAACACTAACTCAACAACTAAACACTAACTCAAGAAAAATAAGCAAAGAACAACTTTCATAACAAAATAATAGGACTACTTCAGTTAGGAGTCATATAACTACGGAAGCCCCCAAAATGTCTTCTTGCTGGTTGTGCTATCAAGACACCTTTAAAATCCCATCTCTAAAGCGCTATAGATATTCTATAGAAATATATTCTCTATCGATATAGATTTAAATACACTCCATCTTCCCCCCATCCCTTTCTATTTCTTTCTTTCTAATTTTTTTTCTTTTTTTCTTTTTTTAGTATAGTTGCCCACCTCTTTCATCTTGATTTAGCTGGTTGGGTAGCTTAATTTGGAGGTCAGAGTGGGCCTGGAATAACCAATCTCCACCCCACCTGGAGAGTCAAGAGCTATGCTACCCAACATGGGAGCCATGAGTCGCATGTAGCTACAAAGCACTTGAAATGTGGCTAGTCCAAATGGAGATGGGTGGTAACTGTTAAGTACATACCAGATTAAATAGTACAAAAAAAAAAAAAAAAAAGAATGTAAAATAGCTCATTAGTGATTTTCTTATTGATTATACATTAAAATGACATTTTTTTGGATTTACTAGGTTAAGTAAAAAATGTTATTAAAGCTAATCTCACCTGTTTCTTTTTACTTTTTAAATGTGGCTATTAGGAAATCTAAAATTACTTACGTGGCTGGTGTTGTATGTCTATTGTATAGCATTGCTCTAGACAGTGTGTGTGACCAGGGAAAGGAGGAGGAAGGCTTTCTCAATCATGTCAATCCATCTGGTGGAGCCTGTTCTCAAATTCAGCCTTAACATCAGTTAGCAAAACTCCTCGGCCCAGCTCAAGTATGTGTTCAGCGCCACCATCCAAAGGAGTATTTGGGGGTGTGGCCAAGGACCCAAGGACCCAAACCGCAAGGGGCACCCAAATCCATTTTCTCTTAAAAAGTTTGAGGGCTGTTTCAGCACACAACGAGTCAAAACTGTGAGGAGATGCCCATGCAGAAGCAGGGAAGAACGGCATTTCTGTAACAAGTCTTGGCCTTTGCAGCTGACTTTTTTTAAGCACATCAAAATAAGAGAGAGAAGGGAAGAAGATGCAGAAATCACCAAGAGCCAAAGAGTTCGTTTGAAAGAGGAAGTGTGCCACAAAAGCTATCTAAAATAAATGCAGTACCTAACAGTCTCCGGGAGCTGAGGAGCTTTAAGTCCTGTGAGAGCTTAAAAAATAAGAACAAACTCACCATCAATCCCTCTATTCATTCATCTGCAGAACAATCAGTCATGGCCTTGGCGGTCAATGGGCCATGCCGGTTCCCTGAGATCCAGAGCTAGCTCTGGTATGTTCTAGACGCCAAGCTGAAAAGGGGGTATCAGAACTATCATCTGGTTTTCTCTCCGCTTGGGAATGTGGGTGGGAAGGTCTTACTCCCTTCACAACATCTCAAAGCACAGAAGGAAAAAAGTCAAGTTCTCGGTGTGTGAGATGCTCCTAAGGCCAGACCTCTGAAAGCTCTTATTTCAGAGTAAAGCCAAAGTAGAAACCAATGCTTGCTGCTTCCCACTAATTCAGTTCATTCATTCACTCATCCATTGGAGGCTCTCTTTGAGGGAGGCATTGTGCTAGGCACAGGTGGCGAAATAAAAATAAACCAGACAGGGAAAAAACCCGCAAAAAGCAATTCCCATCCATCTGGAGACAGAATAAAGATAGTAGGCCCAACCCTACAAGCAAGCAGAGTAATTGCTTGATGTGACT